ATGACATACAAGTAATAAGTTTAATGATAGTTGCATGAATTACTTTACTTAAATAGTTGAATTTTCTCTTTCTCGAATCAAAATTATATTTATGATATATATTATATTGTGTGTATAAAAATAAGAAAAGAATTTCAATCTAGTTATGAATTTAGCTGTTTTCTTTTAAAAGAAGAAAGTTTATCTCAATACAAAATATTGAAGGAAAAAACAACCCTTAAAATGAACTCTATGTAATGTCTAAATTTTTATACTTTTTTTTTTTGGCATAAGAAATTGAATTTGGTAATATTTCCTTCCCGAATAATCTTGATGAATTTTGATTTTTCCTTTAAACTAATAAAGAAACTCTTTCAAATCTATCATTTTTACAAAATTTAAAAAAGAAAAAACACATATTCAAAAGTTACAACTCCTTCTTTCAATAGCAACCATTTCCCTTCTATAAAAATCCTAAAGCCGATTTTTGATAATAACCCAAACACAATGATGACTTCCTCTTCATCTACTCCTTGGAGGACTCAAACGATTTTCCCAAGAACAAATCAATTTGTTCCACAGCATCGATCGAAACATCTTTGCCAGGCTTGTTTTGAATCTCCGACGTGATCCAGGTGAATCCATGCAAGTGATGGCTTTACTTCTTTGGGTCGAACATGCTAAAAATGTGGTTTATGACATTCAACCTTGGCCTGATAGTCTCATCAATGCATTGGCTGAAGAAGTTGTGCTATGCTTGAATTGTATAAAGAGTGATGAGTTCCTTTACAGTAATTCCAATTATCTTATTCCTCTTATTCGAAGATTAACAAAAAATGGGGTCTCTCTTCGTTTCTTCCATGATAATCGTCTCGGGATTATCCCTAGGGTTATTCAAAATTTTCCAGATGTTTGTCTTCGAGTTTTTGGAGATATATTGCAACAAGCATTGAGAATTAATTCAATATATGAACTATATTGTGTAATTTTTTTTGGTTTGTGATCGCCCAAGTAGGAAATTTGGAGATAATTTCGTTGAAAGAGTTGAGATGCAAAAAGTCCCAAGGGGGTAAAAGCCACTGTTTGCAAAGCTGGTTTTGCATTCTGCTTCTGACCTTCAAATAGTTCTGAATGGCATGCCTAAAGCCAAGTACTTAATCAAGGGAAAACACATTTGGGCTCCAAAGTTCGAGCGTAGATAATTCTCAATTCACCACTTCTGGGTAGAGTAAAGTGTGGTGAGGAGTTGCTAGTTGTTTATGTCTGATTAAGGCATGTTGTCTATGTATCATGATTAAGGCATAATTCTCAATTCACCATTTTCTTAACGTTCTTTAAAGGATATCCCTTTTCAAAGAAAGATGTAATAGACTTCTTTGCTATGTACTTATCTTTTCGCTCAAATTTCAATCTTGATATTTGCAAATTGATCTATTATATATATATATATATATATATATATAAGTTCTAATATTCATTTTGACTCATGTTTTTCTATATGAACTATATTATATATGCTGTTTTTGTTTACGATTGTCCATTTAGGAAATTTAGGGATAAATTCGTTGAAAGAATTGAGATGCACAACTGCTTTTTGCAAAGCTTGTTTTGCATTCTACT